AAGGCAGCTAGTCATCACCACCCACCGCCAACTCTTGGGCTACTCTTTTACCAACGAATAGTGGAAGAAGATCGAGTAGATTTTTGAGAAAAGTTGGTAAGGTTTCTGTTGAATGAGATTGACTAAGTATTTGGCAAAGGGTTGTAAAGTTTCTGTTCAATGAGAAAAATTACATGTTTGAGGAAGAGTTATAGAGATTTTGTTAACTAAGATTGACTAAAGGATAGACAATGGGTTATAAAGTTTTCGTTGAAGGAGATTGACTAAATGTTTCACATAAAGTTTCTGTTGGATGAAAATGACTAAATGTTTGAGAAGGGGTTATAAAGGGTTTGGTCACTAATCTTGTTTAAATGTTTGAAAAAGGGTTATAGAGTTTCTTTTCACCAAGATTGACTAAATGTGTGGGAGAGGTTTATAAAGTTTCCGTAGAATGAGATTGACTAAATGTTTCACAAAGGGATATAAAGTTTCTGTCCAATGAGAAATACTAGATGTTTATAAAGGGGCTATAGAGTTTCTGTTGATTGAGATTGAGGAAATGTTCAACAAAGGGTTAAAACTTTCTGGTCAATGAGGCAGTCTACATGTTTGACAAAGAGAACTGTTCACTACGATTGGGCCCGGCATGGCCAGGTGGTTAAGGCACTCGACTCGCAATCTGAGAGTCGCGGGTTCGAATCACCGTCACACCAAACATGCTCGCTCTTTCAGCCGTGGGGGCGTTATAATGTGACGGTTAATAACAGATTCCGTTGAATGAGATTAGCTAAATGTTTGACAGTGGGCTATAGAGTTTCTTTTGAATGAGATTGAGGAAGTGTTCGACAAAGGGTTATAAACTTTTGTTTAAGAAGATCGAGTAGATTTTTGAGAAAAGTTGGTAAGGTTTCTGTTGAATGAGATTGAGGAAGTGTTGGACAAAGGGTTATAAACTTTTGTTCAAGAAGATCGAGTAGATTTTTGAGAAAAGTTGGTAAGGTTTCTGTTGAATGAGATTGAGGAAGTGTTGGACAAAGGGTTATAAACTTTTGTTCATAACCCTTTCTCAAAAATTTAGTCAATCTTTGTGAAAAAGAACTCTATAACCTTTCGTCAAACTTAATGAACAAGACCTCTATAACCCTTTGTCAAACAAGTAGTCTTTCTCATCGAACAAAAGCATTATAACCCTTTGTCAAACATTTAGTCAATCTCATTCAACAGAAATTTTACCAAGTTTTCTCAAACTTATAATCAATCTTGTTAAGCTGAAACTTTATAACCCTTTGTCGAACATTTTCTCAATCTCATTCAAAACAAACTCTATAACCCTTTGTCAGACATCTAGTCATTCTCATTGAACAGGAACTCTATACCTGTTTCTTAAACATCTAGTCAATGTATTCTTTGATAGAATGTTTAGGCAGAGTATTCATGATGACATTTTATAGAATGGACGGCAACTGCCTGTTGTTGAGACACAAGCGTAGAAGACGAAACGTCGTCCTCTACACTTATGTCCCTACAACAGGCAATTGCCGTCCATTCTACAAAATTTCATCATTTAGTCAATGTCATTTAATGGAACTCTATAACCCTTTGTCAAATATCTAGTCTTTCTCATCGAACAGAAACTTTATAACCCTTTGTCAAACATTTAGTCAATCTTAGTAAACAAATATTCTATAACCCTTTGTCAAACATTTAGTCAATCTTAGGGAACAAAATGTTTATAAACCTTTGTCAAACATTTAATTTTTCTCGTGGAACAGAAACTTTATAACCTTTTGTCAAGCATTAGGTCAATCTAATTCAACAGAAACGTATTATCATTTGTCGAACATCTTGTCAATCTCTTTCAGCAGAAACTTTATAACCCTTTGTCAAATATCTAGTCTTTCTCATCTCCTTGAGTAGAAGCTCTATAACCCTTTATATTGTATTCAAACAGCATTACATGCCAAATTTGTATCTCGGTCGTGTGGTATCACTATAAGGGAGTAGATTATACTAAACTTTACACATTATACAGGCTACACTAACGTGACGTTTAGGCGATTCGTTTAACTATTATACATGATGTACGTAATGAAAGTGTTCCAAAACGCGATATTAATTTATTGACTACCTAATAAATTGTTATTATAGTGTATTAAGGCAAAATAAATTGAGTGTAGCAATAATATAATTTAATATTAAATTAGATTTAATATCCACATCAGAATATAATCAGAAAGAAACTGAAGACTTAAAAATATGGCGCTTCCAGGGTAATGAACTGGAAAACATTGTGATGCTTTTGGTGGAAAAGGAATTCTGGAATTATTCCTTATCTCTGAAGGCTACAAGAACAGGCAAATATTCTGATAAATTATTTAAACTATTTAATTATTCACTCGCTTTTCTGGGATCCTGCTTATCTCTATACAGACGCCTCTCAAAATTACCTTTAGATTATTCCTCCAAAAATGTACATAATACCTTTACCCTGTCTACTCATCATTTACGGTAGAATCATATAATATTTCCTCTTATTGAATCTTTAATGTTCATACCTTTAAAAATAAATAACTTTTTTCTCATCCTGCTTCCAACTACAAACGTCGTTAGCGACAATATGTAAAATCCCCCCCTCTCAGTAGCTCAACGTTAAGTCTCTGGGCTTATGGTGCCAAAAACGGGGTTTGATACCTATGGTGGGCACAGCACAAATAGCTCACCGTGTAGCTTTGTGCTTTACAGCAAACGGAAACATGTCAAAATAAGTAAAGGTAGACGCTAGAGGCGTCTCTCGAAGAGACAGCAGCAAGTTCACGAACTTACAATACTAAAATCCGAGGCTCATTTCTCCGCGGTAGACACAGCAAATAGCTCAATGTTTCTTTGCTCTAAAAAAACAAACAAACAAACTGCGCACTAAAAAAGTAATAGCACTGCTAATAGCCTAGGCTCTTCTTCCTCCACATTAAACGTGTCGAGTCCCTGTTGCAGCGCAGACCAAAGTAATGTCGGTGCGTCTGTTTCAATCCCGTGGTCTTCAGATTTCAAGATGAATGCCTAAACCACTAGAGGACACCTACGTGCATTGAGAAAAGCAAAAAATACCTCCAATAGTTTAGTTAAAGAGAAGAAAAAAGATCGAAGCTAACAAGTTTATAGTACGTCAAGAATATATTTCATCAATCGGGCTCACCTTAACGTTTTTAACATCAATATTGTTGTGATAATACATCAGTTAATATTAGGACTTTATTTCGCACTCCTGGTATTAGGACTAGTCATCGGAATTAACATGTAAGTAAATATTAAAGTGAACTCGAGAAGATTCGAAAGGGGAATTTTGTTAAAGTTTAGACCAAGCAGGTATTTAATCCTGAATTATTAAAGTTCCAAACTTAAAAAAATATATATATATAGTAAAACGTCACTGTTTTTTTATAAATCATCGACCATTACTAATCCATGAGGATTTTTAGTTTCAGGAAAAACTATGCTACCGTTCATTCTGACACATTCTGAAACTTGGAGACGAGGTGAAATAACCATTTACTAGAAAGTTCAAATGTTTTTAGGCCTTTACTGCTGAGTTTTAGAGGCCACAAAGAGTTGAAATTACTCATGACTTATGTGAAAGCCATGGTCCTCTGGCCACGCGCGGCTAGACACGCCATTTACTTTATCGACTGTACGTGGATGATGGAACGGTAAGTGTGTACGTGTAAGTGTCATTCCCCATGCAGGGCTACTGAATACTGACATAAAGTTATATATAAATACAAACTTACTGGTCAGATACTTCATATCAGTCTAACTATTTTCAATATATATTATCTAATTTGTATTTCTACGTATACTGAAGGTATAGATTCTACCCAAGAAACCTTGAAACTTTCATTGCGATCTGAGTTCGGTAAGTATATAGGCAGTAACACGGAGGGAAACTGAAATGGCTGTCTTCCAAACTCTTAAAAATGCTAAATATGAATAAATTAAGGGGTTTTAGAACCCCTGAAATTTTCAAGGTAGTTAGAGGTTGGGAAGTTGGAAAAGTTTCGTCACGGACAGACATACACGGACACAAGCTGCTTTATACAGAGCTTATTCTCAGGAAAATTTGTTTCTTATTATATTATATTATACTTGCCGCGACCCGCAAAACGATTTATTTGTTATTATATTATAATATACTTGCCGCGACCCGCAAAACGATTTATTTGTTATTATATTATATTATACTTGCCGCGACCCGCAAAACGATTTATTTGTTATTATATTATAATATACTTGCCGCGACCCGCAAAACGATTTGTTTGTTATTATATTATATTATACTTGCCGCGACCCGCAAAACGATTTGTTTGTTATTATATTATATTATACTTGCCGCGACCCGTAAAACAGTTTTCATACCCTTAGCTTGAATTTTCCTTATTCTATCGTTTTCACGCACGCCATTTAAGCTACACTCTCTTGCAGGCATTATGTGTTAGATCGATAAATCTTGGTCTATTTGAAAAAACTTAAGGTTTTAGACAAACAAACTCACGTAGATGTAACTTTATCTAGTAAAACTCCATATACGTAACTTTATCTAGTAAAACTCCATATACGTAACTATCTAGTAAAACTCCATATACGTAACTTTATCTAGTAAAACTACATATACGTAACTTTATCTAGTAAAACTACATATACGTAACTTTATCTAGTAAAACTCCATATACGTAACTATCTAGTAAAACTACATATACGTAACTTTATCTTGTAAAACTACATATACGTAACTTTATCTAGTAAAACTACATATACGTAACTTTATCTAGTAAAATTACATACACGTAACTTTATCTAGTAAAACCAGATATCCGTAACTTTATCTAGTAAAACTATATATACGTAACTATCTAGTAATACTATATATACGTAACTATCTAGTAAAACTATATATACGTAACTTTATCTAATACAACTACACTTCATTAACTAATAAAGGAAAGTAATAGTACTTTATAATAGTGTACAGAGTATGAAACAGTTATGAGTATTCAGTGTATCACACAGTTTTACGAGTTGAAATAAAGAAACTCGCAGAAACGAAAAATAAAACCCGTAGTAAAGACAAATGTACCTAAAAGGTGTTTATAACAGTCTATGAAACGAAAGGAAGCTAAATTATTGCATTGTAAAGTAAATATAAAGTTGTAATGAAGACAAACTTAACTGAATATGCAGAAATGTCTGAATGCGTGTTCATAAAGTGAAAACGTATGGTTTTGAACAAACTGCGCATGCGTATTTTAGACCTAAATAAGTCTAGAAAGCCCATAACAATCATATTTAGTGTAATGTTATTTTTTTTAGGAACTTACATGTGGGTCAAGTGTTCTTTGTGTAAAATACTTTGCAAATAAAAACACTAAAGTTGAAATCAAAGCCAGTCGTCACGTGAAGACAACGACATTGTGCCATCACTCCATTGAAAAGTTTGACTAAGCAAAATACAGCTAAGGTGATTCTGAATTAAAAAGTCAATATGCAATCCGGACTTCTTGGACAAAGGTCTTTCTAACGATATGAGATTTGTGGCGTTTGATCAAGAAATTTACGAGAAAAGTTCCGGACAGACAAACGCAAGCGTATTATTTTTATATATCCGGACATCACTTGCTCTATTCTCAAGAATTTCTGTTAACAATACATATAACTTTCATCTAACTTTCATGAACATCAATATTTCATTGGTCTGCAACCCAAAGTCCATTTTACGAGCGTTTGAAATTTGATTTTTGTTTCAGATATCATAAAGATATAGAACTTTTTATTCTCATCAACAGTATTTTCAATCACGTGAAACTCAAACGTACTTTATTCTCATCAACAGTATTTTCAATCACGTGAAACTCAAACGTACTTTATTCTCATCAACAGTATTTTCAATCACGTGAAACTTAAACGTACTTTTTAACTTATTTTACTTTTCTTTAGTATATAAATAACACACGTCTTCCAGTTAAAAAGCACTTTCGTTAATAACCATTAAGTGAAAGTTTTAATTCAATTACAGAGTAAAAAGTAAAGAAACTTCGGCTGTTGTTTCCAGATATCATAATATAGGCAACAGTGTAGCCAAGGATGAAAAAACAGGACATTTTTACTGGTGAAGTGCTTTAATTGGTTTAATCGCCCTCTATTTTTCTTCACTATGATATATGCCACCTTTACAACCACCTGAGGTGAAGACATAATTTTGGTTGTTCCTTCTAATTCCTAACATTCATCACTCTGTCAATAGATAATAATTTACAGAAAAAACTGTAAAGAAACGATTGACTGAATCAATGGTTGACTTCGTTCAATGTTTTTTTTTTACTTGTGGTATTTTTTATATTAAATTGTGTACTATTCTTTTGCGATGAAATTAGCTTTTTAATACGTTTACTTGATTGACTTTTATCCAAGTAAGATTACTTACAAAATTCTCTTTATCCTTGTGAAAGAATTGTTTATTTATTTTAAAAATTGTTATTCGCAATCATTACAGTCAAAAATACTATTGTTTTTAAATAATATTTTAAAAGTGTAATAAAAAACAATTAGTATACCTAATGATTATGACGATCTTAATTATTGAAAAACATATTTACTCTTACACGAAGTGCATTAAGTAAATATAAACACTGGTGGACCATGTAACTTTTATTGAATACAGAGAAATAAATATGTGTTTCTTATGGTTGATATAAAACGTTGAAAAACAGTTGTGCCTCACCTTTCTCACAAACTTAACCCTCATGACGTGTATTGAATTATAAATGTTCATATTTATAATGTATTCGTGTTTCACGAGACATTAAAAACATCGAAAAATTAGTTACGTCTCCCATGAGCTATCGAACACATTTCATGACAGCATTAAGTTGCATAAAGCATTTCTAAAATATTGTTGCGTTGTTTCTATTTTCTTTTTTTGCTTTCATTTTCTATGTAATATTACAATTAATTATTTTTCATCTAAGGTTTGAATATCCAGTGTTAAGTTCACGCTATTCTTCCTTATTTTTCCTTTTTTTAATTATATATATATATATATGTTTATCTTGCACGACGTACACTCGAGATTTATTTGAATATGCTTTAAACATTAAGCTGATTTAATATCTTCCTCCTATGTCAATATTTTGTATATTCTACAAACCCGATTTTATATGTTGCATAATCATTTCTGTTTCTCATGTCTAGATGAAAAAGATACGTGGGTGTAAGTTATTGAAACAAAATTTTTATCAAATGTTAGTCGATATTTTTCTACGTAACCACAGTCCTAAGTTTGGACTGGCTAATTTCTCTGACAGTTCCGTTCCTTCGCTTAACGTGGTTACGAATGCTCTGGGACTAATCTGATAAACAGAATACAGTAAATGTACTTACACTAACGAGGGACTCGGTTAATGGACTATATTCTGAAAAGTGGATTGCAGCAGTTATAAATTATTGCATTTAGTTGAATCTTCTAATCCGTCGCACGTTCAGCACTATGTTAATCATGGAAACAGATCACATGTGATGGACAAGGGGCTTTCCGCTTATACATTTTGACAAGCTAAGCCGTACATAGCGAGAAACTAGCATTACAGAGAACAAGAAACGAGTGTTGATATGAGCGTGTCAACAATATTAACATAAGACTAGTGAATGAAACTTTGCACTAGAATTAACAAAACGATGATTTAAGAATGTGTGATTCTTCAATTCATGTAACATTTTAATTTATCCTACATTTCCCATTTTCATGTAAAATACGCACAAACATTGTTTTATTTTATTATTTAAGGTAAAAACGTTTAATTAATTGAAGTGTTTAATGTTCTACTCCTGTCTTTCGAGAAATGCTCAATAGTCTAGTTAATAATAATGAAACACTTTTGCAGATTAATAAGATTAAATCTATAAATTATTTTCATCAGTACTACGATTATAATAAAATTATGTTTTCATAAAGCACTCCAAAATACCTTCGCAAAATCATTCTTGAAAATTATAAAATTACGCACAAAAATTTGTAAGTTTCAATGAAAAAACACAAAATCGTTACATTGAAAATTACATTCTCACCCAATAAGATCAGGGGGTGGAATATTCTTCAGTGATTTGATAGTAGGCATCTCGTAGGATTCTCCTCCACTTGGCAGTTTTCTGGAAGAAAAAAAGACAGATATCAAGAAAATGGATAGATGGATGGATGAATAGATAGAGAAGAAGCTGATACATTACAAGTCATTTAGAATAGGAAAAATATCAGCTCGGCTCTACCTAAGAGACAATATTTATTTTCAATGTTTTTCTTTTTGTGAGTGTTTCACAACACTTTCTGACAGTACTAAATGGATCTTCTCTAAAATATCAGATCTGTGCAATTTCTAATCAGCTTATAGTTCAAACAGATCCACGAATCAGGAGATTAACTGTGACTAGTAAAACCTCAAAACACAGTCTTTAAGTCGTTCTTTTTTTTCGGATCCTGATGCTCGCTATGACAGGTTATGGAATTAATTCCATTAGCGCAGAAATAATCCTCGGTTTGTACGAAAACTTTCTTATCAAATATCATCTCTTTTTCTTATCTAGAACTCTAGTGCTCTCAACCACGAATCTTTTTTTATAAACCTGGACTTTTTTCATCTATTCATTTAATTTTCTTTTTAAACATCTGTTTTTATACAGCTTATAGAGTTAATAATATGATTTCCTAATTATTTTATTCCAAAAAGGTGTTTTTTTTAATAATTCATCTAATCGTTTTTATCTCTCTCTTGCAGTCGATTTGTAAAATGATTTATAATTTTGAAAAGTACAGTTATTCGGAAATTCTTTCAAGTGCACTTATTTGAAATTACTTTGTTAGTGGGCAGTAGCTTAAACGTTTAAGTCAAACAATAATCATTTTACATTATTTATCGTTTTCTTTATTTCTGAAATATCTTTTACATCTCTTTCAAGCATAATTATGTATCTTGATGTTCAACAATTCTATGTTTATTACTGAACATAAATAATCACACAAAATTTAAACAATCCACAAGGAAAATCATTACCATACAAACCATATTATCTTGATAAGAGCCATAAGAGAGACTTTGTGGCATACATCAAACTCCATTAAAAACACGAAAAGAATCTATGTAATCACGTCATACTATTTTAAAAGTGCCATAGAAATAATCAATGTAATATACACCGCAGTAACTCTTGGGCTAGTAGTTATCCCAGCACTTCAGACACACTTGCTGATTGCCTGCCTCAGGAAGGGATGTGGTATGTGATGTCATCAAAGACAATGACGTCATAATTCCATAAACTTGCAGCAGAGGGCGCGTTGCTTGGCCGCCATGACAGGCGACCATGACGTCATAGTTCCATAAAGTGGGGCCAGCATAAAATTGTTCATGACTATATTTAACACAGTCTGTAGAAAACAATATTTTATTAGTTAATTACATTTCCTGACCATTTATGTTTAAATCGTCCTAAAGGACGATATCATGAAATATTATGCATTAATTTAAATTTACACGTTCACTAGTTTGACTTTATGCTATAAGTTGACAAAGTATTTCATTTTACGCATGATGCTTTATAGTTTAATGTTACATGAGTTTTACAAAGGCAAACACAATACTTCCACATATGATCAATGTCTATATTTAATTATGTTAAAGCCATTATTTTATGGACTGTCCAAAGAATTTTAACAAAGATGGTGTGACAGTGCTACTATACTTCCACATATGATTACACTCTCAATGTCTAGTTTTAATTATGTTAAAACCATTATTTTGCACATTTTAACATCTCTACTAATACAGTTTGTTACAACTAGTCATAATAATTGAATGACTTGCTGTTTATCCACCCATTTTTTTATTGAAAATTCCCTTCTATAAAACTTTGAGACTGTCTAACACACCCTATTAGGAATTGATCACTGGCAAACACACCTCCAAACTTCTTTGCATACACAAATCTTATTAAAGTATGTTCAAAGCTTCTTTCGCACTGTTTCGTTTTCACAAGTAAAACATGCATATTATTTGAATAAGACAGTTATTATAACCAATAATTTAGTTTTATCATCCTGCAACTAAATACGATAAACGAAGGACTTATTGTTTAACTTTACTATTATTTAAAATAAAATGTTGAGACTGTCTGATGCTAAGATACTATTAGGAAACCACAGGCATACAATCTTAACACTGACGTCACTTTGTTAGGAATTAACCTTTTACAGTTCGAGGACTTTGGAAAAGGAAAATTATATCCAATCAAGAAATGTATCACTTAATTAACATGTTACAAGAATGGTGAGTTTGACTAAGATCGTCGATTTCACACTGTTCTTTCTTCAGTACTTGTAAAATAGGGTACACTTGTTATATTACACGTATATATTAATAAGATTTGGCTTAATCTATTTATTCAATTACTTTTCATTATGAACTATAGTGTTTAAGAAAGTATCAAAAGAGAAATCTGTGCACATAAATTCTGCCATCTGGTGACAATTTGTGGAACTATGATGTCATTGTCTTTGATGGCATCATCCCCTTTTTCCTCCCTCTCCCTGAGGCAGCCAATCAACGTGAGGCGGCTTCCTTTGAACGTTGAAGTGAGGATAACTACTTTGGGATCAAACAGTAGTACTTAATCGTCACTTTCATATCACACCTACAGCTCTAAATGGCATAGCGCGGTCTTGCGCCAAAAAGACGCGAATATTGAACCCTTGGATTCACAGTCTGGGCACACTAGCCACCTAGGTCTCTCCCGTCTCTTTGTTTTAGTTTAACCTTATCACCTTTTAGTTTAACCTTATCTTTATCATAGGCAACTAATAACACACTATGTTCCACGATGGGACAGCAGTAAGTTTACGGGCTTACAGCGCTAAATTTCGGGGTTCGATTCTCCGTGGTTAACACAGCCGATAGACCAATATAACTTGGTTCTAATAAAACAAAAAAATACAAACCATTATTGTTTATTACGAATACTCAATAAATTATGTTGTAAACAGGATTATATCAATAATGAGTTATTGTTAATTAAGCACATAGCAGTAGAAAGAGGTTTTAATCCAGATGTTGTTGAAAGAGCTATCAAAAACTAAAAACCAGGGATAAAAATATTGAGATAAAACCATTTGCTGACAAAAGTAAGAAAGACTGTTTAGTACTATCATATATACCTGGTTTATCTTGTCAAATAATGAAAAAATTACAAAAAAAAATATTTTTCCGATATACAAACCGATAAATAAAGTCAGCCAAATTCTTAATACAACTAAAGATAAAACTGATTTAATGGAAAAATTTGGCATGTATAAAATATTATGTGAATGTAAAAAAAAAATGTATATAGGACAAACTAGAAGAAATTTAAAATTCAGAAGGAATGAACACAAAAGAAATATTCAAAACAATAATATTACTATTTCACCTTTAGCAGAACATGTTAGTGAAACTAATCACACAATTCAATGGGAAAAAAAACTGTTATTTTAGCAAAACCTGGAAATTTAATTGGTATGAATATACGTGAATCTATTGAGATAATTAAATGTAAAAAAAAAGTAAATATAAATTATTAAATAAGGATGATGGAAATGTTGTCAGCGGATGGCGTGAAATTCTTTAATATGTAAATTAGTGTTTTGATAATTATATAAATAAGTGTTATTTTTGCAAAACATTACACTCTCGAAGATGATGTAGTACTATACGTTTAAACATGTAGAGTGTATGAGATTGTTTTTCCAGTATCATCGGG